TGGGGCAAACAGGTTTAAGAGGAGTTGTGTGAGGGTGATCCTGCTCCCATGCCAACCAGTCTCCAGCAACACGGGCTCAGGAGCATGCAGAGAAGCAAGCTTGTCATGGTGCAAGCTGGTAATTCTGTTATTCCACTGGTTCTTTTTATTTCCCCCCGTGTGAAGGAGCTGGAGGGTGAGCTGTGTTCTGTGGAGCCCTGAGCAGGCTGCTGGCAGTGCCTGCTGAGCCTTTTAGTGCTGACAAGGAAACACACCATGCAGGGTAGCAGCACCTGGGTTTGCTCCTGACAGCAGGGTTTGGCTTCACATTCTGATAAGATCTTGTGCTCTGTCATTTCTCTGCTGTGAGCTGCATCACTGGAGGAGCTCACTCTGCCTACAGACATGCTGGTGATGTGTTTATTCCTGGGGAAGACAATAGTGTGTATTATTATCTAATGTACAAGTTAATGTGTTTCCTTGGAATGTAAGTGTTGGTGTTGAAGCAAAACCAAAACACTCTCTTCTGCAGACCTCTCAGCATGCTCTGGGCATGGCCCACCTCCCAGAATCCAAATGGTTTGTAAAACATTTTGCTGAAAATAGGGTTTGCTCCAGCTCAACTAACTAGGGGCTGAATATGGGGGCAGCCTGGGGCCTGGCTCTGCTTTGAGGAAGGTGAGCACACCAAGCCACACGTGGCCAACTCCTGTGGGTGTTTGTGGGGGCCTGGGCTGCCTGTGCCATGGCTGCCCCTGCACTGGGCATGGCCCTGCCACAGAGAGGGGCTTCCTGCTCTTGGCTGGGTTCTGCCCACTCGTGGATGTGAGTCTAGACCCTTTTCATCTTCTGGGTGGTGGTTAGAAATGGGCCACGGGCAGGAGAAGGCAGCTTGGTGGGGAACAGAGGACTGAGGGGCACCCACAACGTGTGGGCAGGGACCCCCATTGGGGACCCTTGTGCAGTGCTGGGGTAGGGGGGCTCTCTTCAGAGGAGGTGGAATAAAATAAATCAATTAGGGAGAGGAAGAGGGTTTGGATTGTTGTGGTTTTTTTTCCCAATCCAATGTTATTTTTCTTTTTCTAACCTGTGAGCTAGTTCAAAATAGGTGGTATTTGGGGGGTTCTGCTCAAGCAGGGTAAGGAAATGGGTAATAAAACATCCAAGGGAAGGTGCCCTTGGTCTTGCCAGGGACCTGTCTTCCCAGAGCCCATCTTCACTTGGGAAGAAGCAGCAGGAGCTGGGGGTCTGGTGAGCCTGGGGTGGCAGAGATGAGTCCTGGGGCTGCATCCTCACCAAACGTCTGGTGTTCACCCACAGGCTGCAGGGGTGCTCAGAGGATCTCTGCATTCCCCAGCAAGCACCAGGAATGTCTTTGCCACTTTCTGACTGAGTTATTTCACTCAAACCAATCTGGAAGGCAGGTGGGGCCTGAGGAGCTGGTGCAGGGAGTGTGTCCCCTGCCCCAGGATGGGGACCAGCAGCAGAGATTCCCTGGGCAGTGCCTGGGGCTTTAGCTTAGCTAGAGCTGGGGCTTTATAGCTCTGAGGTGGTCTGCTCTGTTTGCACCCAGGGGGGTGTGAGGGAAGGGGGATCCCAGGGAATGCCCAGGGAGTGTTGCTGCCAGGACACCACCCCACAGCTCCCCTGGGAATGGGGATGCAGGTGGAGGCACCTCCCAGGCTTACGGGCAGAATGTTGGGACCTTGAAGGAACTGGGAAAGTATTTTGGGCTTGGGGAGGGGAAATAAAGACAGGGATCTTGGGTGGAGTGTTTCTTGTTTCAATTTTTAGGAGAGCATGTTGGACCTTCCCTGATCTCCTGTTTCAGCACAGCATTTGTAGCAGCTTTAGTGAGTGAGAAGTGGGAGAGCTGCTGGTGTTGAGGGAACTCTTAAGTGTTAGTGCCAAGTTTCTCTTTTGCCAGCAGCAGGTTGTGCCCCACGTGGGGCTCAACACGCCGGGGTTGGCTCCTCTGTGCTCTGCAGGTGCCTGAGCAGTGTTTGCCCTCCTGCCTCTTGTGGGTTTTTTTAACATGTTTCGCTACGTTTTGCTTTTGTTTAATTTTCATAACTTTAATTCATGCTTTTCTTTATATATGTTTTGTTTCTTTCAGTTAATCACACACAGACTTTCAGGCCAAGAGTGGACTTGGTGCTTTCATGTGTTAAGTTGCTTGAGTTTCCCACCCCGTGACCCTTCTCATAACATTGTGTGAGTGGACCAAAGTGAAAGAGAAAATGAGCATCTCCGGTGGCTGCAGTGGCTCTTTTCTGTACAGAACTTGTCAGCAGGTTTTGAGGAAGTCACCTTACCATGTACATTTTGTTAAACAAAGCCAACTAATCCCTGAAGTAAGATGTTTTGTTCTAAACCCAGTGACTGAGCAGCTGTGTGTGAAGGGACCGTAACCATCTGTCTGCACTCATCTCACCCACCAGCTAAACACTTGCTTTCTAGGCTCACTTGGTTTGTAACTGGCTAAGGCCACTGCTTGAGGCTCATCTACCTTCCCCCCTCGGTGCACAGATGGGAAGAGTGGTTTGAGGAACATGGAAACGTTTACTTTTCTAACAAAATTCTCCATTTGAGTAAGTTTCTTGAATGGGTAGGAAACCACAGTGCTTAGACTGGGAATCTTTGTCAGAGAAACCCTCATTCCAGTAATGATATATTTTAATCCCAAATTACTCTAAACACTTTCTACATCATTTATAATATATATATATATAAATAAAGAGAGAGAGTGGGTTAATAAAATACTTAGGACAATGTTTTGAATTTTCTTTACTGCTCAAGTAGAACATTTATATAGAAAGATGTTTCATTTGTTGTATAATGTGGAACTCCAGGATTTGTGTAACTTTTCACTTGTCATTTATCAGTGTATTTTACCATTGTGGAAAATCTATTTAAGCCATCATCTTTACTTTTACTCTTTAACTTTACACTTAATATGTGCCTAACAAGGAGAATCCCCTGATCCTGAGCTGTATTTATCCGACAGGCTGTTCCTCTGAGAAGGTGCTTCCTTTCACATTCCTCATGCCTAGAAAGCACAGCCTTGTTTTCCTGGGCAGCTGAGCTTAGAGGAATAATTAGGATCAATATTCCTTGTTTCCACTCAAGCCATCTTGTGGCAAGGCAGGATGATAACTGAACAGAGACTGACCAGCTGTGTTGTCATGGAAAAATGGTCAGACCCAATTCCATTCATCAGATAACAGGCTAGAAGGAAGCCAAGCTTTTATGTTCACCCCCACAGTGTCTTTAGAGTTTATAAAAGCACTGGCTGGCTAAGTGTTAGTTGTGTCTGCATTTTATTTAGTTATGAATGTTAGAGGATTTCTGATTTTTTTCTTTAAAGACTTGTCTTTAAGCTAAGGAGTCAGCAAGCTCCTCACTCCACTTGCAGCAGGAGGTGCCCAGCCTGGCCTCAGGCTCTGCTGGATTGTAAAATGAGGTTCTATAACTTGCATATCCCATTAAACCAGGTTTGTTTTGTTGTTGTTTTTTTCCTTAAATACATGCTCAGGTGTTAAACTGCTTTCATATGGGCATTGGCCTTGACATGGATATACCTAAAAACATCAGTGGTACTTGATGTGTATAAGAAAGAACCTCATAAGGATCTTGAAGGTACCTTTTAGAACAAGCCATTTGTCAGAGTAGAAATGATGTGCCCTTAAGCTGAACACTTAATTTTTAAGGCTGTTTCTCCAGGTTAGATGTATTTCAGAGTAACTGTCAAATATTAGGAGGGTTAATGTGTTCTTGTCAGCCCGTTCCAGCTCCCCAGGGCCAACTGTGGAGCAAATGAGGGGCAGGATCTTGATTTTTTGCTAGGGAGAGAAACTCTGGTGCCCGAGTTGCAGGGGTGAGCAGCTCTGTTCAGTCCATTGTTTTGCTTCTCCAGGCCAA